CTCTTTGTCACCGCTGTTTACACTAATGTGCTTTTACTGTAAAAAAATTAAAATAAAAAAAAAATACAGCCTTCCCTTGGTCATATCAACCCGAGCCTACCGGGGGCAGCCTTGTGAATTGGAGGCAGTCTCACTCTAGTTGTCTTTGAAGTAGGTGAGAGTTTGCCTTCAGGTTCAATCTCTCCCCTTGGTCGGCTAACACACACTGAATGCACAAGGCCGACCCTTGGGGATCCCTGAGGTTGGGTTTCTGTGTGGTTGATTGTGAGTTTGTGTGTGAGTGTATGTTTTCTGAAAGAGAGGGGGTGTTGACTGTCAGTCTTCAGACAGTTTGAGACACTTACAGTACACACTCATGGTTAACGTGGTCTCCACGGTCTGGAAAAGAGGGGAGTTCTTGGCGCGACATGTCAGCTGCCTCCCGTTGTCAGATCCCAGAGCGGTGACTCTTTGATATAGAAAGAAAGAAGAAATAGAAGCATAAAAATGTGTTATGTTGACTCAAAAAAGGTGCTTTAAACATCACATTATTGTTATGTTTGGCCAGTGGTGGAAGAACTATTCAGATCCTTTAAAACTGCAAATACCCTGTAGTCAAAATCCTACTGACGGAATTCACTGATGCATTTGCATTCAGCAAAACGAATGTGACCACTTGCGTCCCAGTTCACCTATGAATGTGTTTTTTGAATGTTTTTGTGATCAGATCTCAGTATGCATTGATTCTGCATTTGGGTAAGTCCACTGACGACTTGGGATCAGATCATTCAGAACAGGTGTTAATACCAGGTCTGAATATTTTTCTCTCAGCTTTCTGAGCTATTTTTCAAGGAAATCATCGGATTACAGTGATGAAAATGTCTTTTACAGCAAACAACTCACAGACATCTGTGTAGTGAAGAGTGTCTGTGTAAGAGGAAGCTCTAACAAAACACTGACTGAGGGAAAACCAAAAAGATTGGGAACCACTCAGGGGATCTCATCGTTTTTTATTTCCTTTTAACTTCTTGCGACATCTTAATCTTGGAGTAAAAGTAGCTTTAAACTAGTAGAAGTATTCATACATGTCACCTCTGTTTGACCATGTGACAGTAAATTCAGTCGTGCACGTTATTTGATGTACTGCACACTAGAAGATCTAGACTCCTCTATGCAGTGGATTTGCTCTGCTCTAGTTTGCTTTTTCAGTTTATTTCCTCTGTATCAAATTACTTTACAATGTCAAGCGGAACAATCACACGTGGCCCACTGTGTACGCTCATTGTGAATATGTGGATGGAGCATCAATATTGCTTAAACCTCTTGCTGCTCTGCAACAGAGCTGAACAACGCTGCAGCTCCTCAGTACCAATGTTATCTCAGGATATGACAAGAGGTTATTATCTTTGACACAGAGGAGACAGGTGGGATTAAAGTAATCTATGGTCCTGTTTAATGTATAGGCACCTGGCGAACCGGTGAGGATCGGATCTGTCTCGCAGCCGGAATGTAATTTTGTGCGTTTGACAGAAGCTAATTCAATCTTGCAGTGCCAAGTAACAGAAATTTATTGTGCTCACTAAGACAGAAGGAGAAAATAAGAGCGGGGTGAAAACAAGGGGGGAAAAAAGAAACAAAGACAGACTTGGAGAGACTGAGCAGGTTTGCTGAGAAGAATGAGTCTGGCAGGCGGGCGAACACATACGTTACTTCAGCATGCGTGTTCAGGAGCTTATCCTTTGAGCCAGACATGGTGAAAGACTCTGCACCTGTCAGCTCGACTCCGTCTAAAAGACACAATAGGGGGGAAGGTGCATAAGAAGGGAGAAAGCTGTGTGTAAATCTGTTCATTTGACACAGCAACATCATTGTTATTCTCACGTGGTGAAATTGTAAATACCGAAATACAACAATATACATGTCTATCTGTGTATGTGCAGTGTACATCTATCTGTGGCACAGCAACCCTATATACAACTGTCTGGCTTTAAAATAAATTAATATAATGACAGAAAATAATTTTGAAAACATCAGAAATGCAGCTTTTAACAAAGGAAAATAGAGAAAGAACACATCTCAGATATGCACAATATAATTCATGTGAAGGGGGACCAAAGGGTAAAAACAGAAGATGGGAAAATTGCTGCTTTTTTGTTAACAACTAGGAACTTGCAATACATCTGTACAAGCAATTGCAAACTGAGTGGAAACTGGAAATTCAAATGTTCAGGCTATTTCCTCCCACACAGTGCTGTGCTCTTTTCAACTCTTCTATTTGAAGACTATGAAATAAGACATCTCAACTAAACCACAGCAGTGTTTTTATGAATACATATTCTGGACCTATGGAGATCTCAGTATGTAGAATATCAAGGCTGTTGCCCTCTGTTGCAGCCGGTCGGCCTCACATCTCTGTCAAATTTAGTGCCGTTGAAAGAATGACTCACCTTTATAAAGTGAGATTTCAGCCATGGGCTTTGCCTCGGGGGCAACACAGGTGACGGTGTACTTCTTCCCTGCGACCCATGGTGTTGCCATGTCCAACTCAAAGTATGGGCTCGATGGAGGAACTGTACGAGAGGAACAGAAGCTCAAGTTTTCACATTAATCACATCAGTACCCTTATATCCAACATGCTGATTTTGTGGAAGCTTCTGCTGTCACAGATGGATATTAGCTTATGCAACAATATGATAATAAGCACTTGTAACATTTGGGAGAGACTGGAGTGTCACGCTGCCAGCTTTTGAGTGATTTACAACGGCGAGGTTTGATGTTCCGTTGAGTAAGAATACAAATTGTGGACAAGAAGAGAATGCAGAGATGAAATAGTGATGAAACCAATCCAGTGCTAATCTATCATAGCAAACACCAAACACTTCTCTTCTCAGATCACCCCGAAGCTAAATATGTGCTTTCTGGACTGATCAAAGCACTCTTCACTTCTCCACTGTTCTACTCTAAAACCCCTTTTATCTGACCATAAATAGGAATTCCAGAAAAAAAAGATAGCTTTTAACAGAAGAGACAAAAAATAGTTTGGAGGTAATTAAAAAATCTGTCACCATCAGTCATCAAAAAGATTTCTACAGATCTGTGAGCCGCTCTTTACCAAGACTATCAGTTCAATCATGCACACACTACACAAACCTGTACTCATCTATTGTGCCAGCCTTTGGTGAGCGGGTGAGCCTCTAGAATTAGAAACTGGTTACTGTTAAGGTTGTTTTTCTTTCATCAGAGATCAAATGCAAAGCACTGTCTGAGTTCAGAGACGGAACAGGGTATTGGAAAGAACAGGAATGGTACGTGTGTGTAAGCGCGCATGTGTGTGTGTGAGAGAGAGAGATATAGTGAGACAAAAAAAGACTCTGGCAGAAAAGTAAAGAGATACGAAAAGAATGTGAAGTGAGTGGCTGCTGAGGAAAGGACAGGAAGTAAGCTGCTGCTGCGGCTGGATTTGGAGATAAATCCGCTGCTAATATGTGGGTAAACAGCTGGACGACAAGCAACCAGACCAGCCAGCCATGAAGCTCCTCTTCACTCACTTTTGGCAACACAAAATCAATTTCCTGGCCACTAGGAGGAGCTGTTGCTGTGTGCACAGTCCCCCTTTGGCTCCATGCTGCTATTGAGACAGATGAGATGTGGCTGCTGCTTCAAACTGATTTAAAAGAAGCAATTGAATCTGTGTGGACTGTGATGGGTTACCAGAGCACTGCAGAGGAGCGCACTGCAATAATGAGATGCATTTGTTTGTTTTTTTTCCCCCCTCTTCCCTGAGAAGATGACTGGGCCATGCATCTATTGACAGCCCCTGCACTCTCTATCTACTCAGGCCCACACGATTCACATAAGCACATCACTTGTTGTGCTCCAGTAGCGTCTGGCAGGCTAACAAATCCGAAAATAAGAACAATGATATGTTCGCAAATGAGGCAGGCAGGTATCTAATTTTTTCCTCGCTCGCTCATGCTGGCCCATTCCTTTTATCTCTCATTCACTCCATCATCCCTCTGTAGCAGCCGGGGCCCACCCCTCTCTCTCCCCACGCTATCCTTCTTGACCACTGCAGTTAAACTGCAGAAGTGCGGGGGACGGTGTGTTCCAGCTTGGACTGGGAATTACAGCCCTTCATTGATCACATCTACTCAGACAAACCATGTGACCCAATCAGCCCAGTCAGAACTTGCACATACACATTTGTGCAAATGTGGTTGTGCATGTGGACAACAACGAAACACATATTATGTTCAATTTACCAGACGTGCACTCAGAGGAAAGAACAGACAGCATACACGCTGTTCTCTTAATTAACTCTTTCCGCCCCTCCTTTGTCTACTTGCCTGTCTGCTTTTTCATTTATTCTCCCTATCTGTCTCTCTGTTCTCTGCTTTCCAGCACCATCTCTCTTATTAAGGTACATATATAGGAACACAAAAATAGATAGACACATTTTTTCTTCTGCTGTTCAGATGAGAAACAGTGAGCTGCAAAATTTGATTCATTAGACAAATACAGATGGGTGGATGGATAAGGCAGATAAGAAGCAGATTAGCAGACATACATCAATATGCATAAGCAGCTTTTTCCACATATCGTTCTCTCTCAACACACAAACCTCTTTTCTCCCTCGCACAAACACCCAAAGATCAAGTCGACAGTGTAGCCAGATTTGCACGCACAAAAACACTGACACAGGTGAGTGAATGTGCAGACGAGCTGCATTCATCTCACTTGACTGTAAAAACAGAGTGTGCTCTGTCCAACATGTGATACCAAGCTGATTTTCTGTTTATGTTTTTGGGAGAAGGCCCAGAGGATAAAACAGTCTCTAAAAAAACATTTTATTATACAGACTTAAGAAAACGATGGAGAGCAGAGGATCAGACTTCTTAACCACAGACAGACACAAGTCTTCAGTTTTATCTGTGGAAAACAAAGACCGATTGACTGGAACCACACGTGCATGAGCGTGTACATGCACAAGGGTTTGTTTTTCTTCCATAAAACACAAAGACACACTCGTTTGTTGTTTTGATTGTTTTTTGTGGAAGACAATGATGTCTATTAATATATATATACATATATTTTTTAATTATTATTTATTTTATTTTTTTCTGCATGTCCCCTGGGGCGAGGGTGTGGGGTGGGTGGAGGTGGGAGAAAAGTTTGTTCTTATACTTCTGTATATGTTTCATTTTCAATTGTGAAAACCAATAAATAAAGTGAAAAAAAAAAGGTCAACTGATCCGTTTCAAACTCAGATTTTTAATTTGGAGCCTTTCCCATGTTTATTAATTTAAAGGTCCACTGTGTAAGATTTAGGTGAAAGAGATTTCTGGCAGAAATAATATATGATATATATATATATATATATATATATATATATGAAATAATCCTCGTTATTTTTTCACTGGTGTGTTTCATCTAAATTGTGTTTATTTATTTTTTCTTTACCATAGAATGGGCCCTTTATATTTAAAAATATATATGTAAAAACATATGTATATTAACATGGTGGTGGTGGTGGTGGTGGGGGGGGGGGGGGTTTGTTTGTTTCCCTCTGCTTAATTGGCCTGTGAAAATGTGTGTTTACTATAGGTTTTTTTCCAAACTGGACTCCAACTTAGTCACTTTTGATGGGCTGTATATCACCCTCAAAAGGCTAAAAAGGCAAATCATGGCCCAGGAGCGCCTCAAGGACAGAAATAGTGACTTGCAGATCTCTGTCATTGTGCGCCGCATTCTGAGTACCAGAGTAAAGCCTGCTGGCAGGAAGTTCATTGTAGACCGTTCTGACACAGCTGTGGTTGGATCATCTAGACCCAAGGATTCATCTCCTTCCATGTCACTCGCCCAACTTGCCAAGATGGCCAACCTGGTCGATGCTAATGCATCAGAAGAAGACAAGATTAGAGCCATGATGTCACAGTCAAACCAAGAATGTGAATCATTACATTATTCCAAGAAGGAAGTTGGACCTCCACCTGCTCATTACATCTGCCATCGTTGTGGAAAGGCTGGTCACTACATCTGGCAGTGCCCCATGCTGATGGTCCAGGACAAGAGTGTGGAGCGTGCTAAGCTTGTCAGAATAAGTAAGGGGATTTCTCATAGTTCCATGGTGAAGGCAGAGCCTTGCTCCAAAGGAGCCATGTTAACCTGCACTGGGGAATATGCCATACCTGCAATAGATGCAGAAGCGTATGCACAGGGCAAGAAGGAGCGTCCTCCATTTGTTCCACATGACCAGTCATCATCAGAGGATGATTCAGACCCTATCCCTGATGAACTTCTGTGTCCAATCTGCAACGACCTCATGACAGACGCAGCAGTAATACCCTGCTGCAGAAACAGTTACTGTGATGATTGTATCTGGACTGCCTTATTAGATTCAGAGGAGAACATCTGCTTCACATGCAAACAATCACGTTTCACCTGATAATCTGATCGCCAACATATTTCTTCGACAGGCTATTAATAAAATCAGCATGGGAATCGGACGGGTTTACAAACACAAGCAGACCAAACCTGCAGCACTACCTCCACCACCCCTCAGTTGTCCAGACCTGCTGCCCCTCAATCACAGGTCCAGCCCCCTGCAGCTCTTGATCCTCCTGCTGCTGTTGCTGCTGCTGCTCTACTCCTCCTCATGCTGCTGCTGGTGAAGGTCCAGATGTTTCACCAGCTTATTCACCTGTCCCTGACCAACATTCTCCTATGCACTCTACCACCCAGGGCGAACCACCCCCACCTCGGTCCTACAAGGTAGATGAGAACACCCCCCCGCCCAACTCCATACAGCTCCACCTCCTTGACCTGCTCCTCAGGTGTACCCTCCTCCATCCCTGTACCCGCCCCCACCACAGCCCTACCCTCCTCCCTACACTTCTGGCCTTATCCCTCCTCCTCCTCCAATTGGTTACCCACCCCAGCCAATTTATGCCCAAGGACCACCGGGGCTTAACCCTCCCTGGATCCCCCCTGGTGTTCAGTCCCCTCTAGCCCTGGTGACTTCTGAAGCCGCAACCCTGGTGGACGGAGGCCACTTCCTCGGGAACTGCCGCCATATGAACTAAAGGGACCAAGTCCTGGAGGACATGATCACTGGGAGAGAGATCGGTATCAATGGGAAAAGGAGTTCACAGACTGGTGCAACAAATATTACAAAGATTATGACCACCAACATCCCTCACTACATTACAGAGGTCGTGGCAGCAGAGACAGGGGGAGGGACAGAATGTCTCCGTTACCCAGAGATTACTCCCCTCAGGGCAGAGGAAGAAGAAGGAGAGCAGAGAGAGGTGCTCCCCCTCACCATCCTCCATCCTCTTCATCATCATCAGGGGCTAAGTCCAGCACAAAAGTCCTTAAAACATAGAAAGTAAAAAAAGAAGAAGCTGGGAGGGAACCTGAGCCATCACAACAGTCAGCAGACAGAGGTGATGCTACTCCTGTCAGAGACGAACCACTGGACGAAATCCCCTCCATCAATAAAACGCCCCCCCATCACCTCAGAACCTGCATCTGGCTCCGGAGTCGCCAAAGCTCCTACTTCTAAAAGTTTTGCTTCACCTGTTTAACCCTCAAACAAGACTAAATCCAAGACCTAGTCTGATAAGAACCAGGAAAGAGAAGGGTCAGAAAGTAAAACCTAAAGTGAAGATAGAGGGTGTGAAAGCAAAGAACGACAAGGTAAAGAAAAAGGCCGGAGAAGGAGTGGCCATCAAAAAAAAAGACTCCTCGTCCTCGTCCTCCTCTGTCGCTAAACCAGTTAAGACCATGGTTGCTTCAGGAAGTGGTTTGGCACAGAAATAGGACTAGCTGCAGGGGGAACACAGGTATTGTTGTTGATTCCGCCCGGAGGAGTGAGTCGGGTGCACAGCTCGGGCAGTAGTAGTAGTAGTAGAGAAGACAGGAACTACTGGTGATGTTGGATGTATTCTAATATCTGTTTAATAAAGTGTTTTAAGCTGTTTTTTAAGTGCTGTTTTTCAGTCATCCCTTCCTCCCTCTTTCCCCCTCTCCCTTCTGTGTCTCCTCTATTAGGGGTGGGGGGGAGCAGGTGTCTAGGACAGAAATAAGACCCCTCCCATCCACACTCAGCCTCCCCCACCACCCCTCCTCCTCCCTGTCCCACTCCTATAGTGTCTCTTACTTTTTGTTTTGGGTCCATTACATAACGGTCAAATTTTCTACTTTCTACATCCTCCATCTCCAGAGTGACCATTTAAAGAAAATATCAGACACATGCAAGGTCTGAGCCGACTCTATGATAAATCAATCATTATCACCTTAATAATAGATTCAAAATAGTTAAAAGCAAACTCTTGGAATAGCTCCTTTTACTATATAGCAGAACCTCCCCGCCCTAATTGTAAAGACCCTGACACTGTAACATCAGTCTGGCACAGTAATATGCACAGTGTACAACACGTCGTCCTCTGATGGGGTTATATCTTGGGCAACTGTCAGAACTTACCGTGAACGAAGAAGAATAAAGTCACCATGTTCTACGTTGCTTGTGCCCCCATTTATAAGTTGTTCCATTATTCATAACAGGGAATCATGAAATGAAGGCTCATTATATACTCTTCAAGTGCTAAACTCATTAGCTACCGCAAAACCTCACCATAGCCTTGGTTCCTAAAATGTCCTCTAACCTCCAACCAACACTGATAATAAGCTTACACACACACACACAGACATATCTCTGTAAGACCCGACTATGGCAACCGAATGAGTAACAGAGTCTAAAACCAGAACACATCAAATAACTGTTTTGAACATTTGCAGCAGGCATCTGTACAAGCATGCAATGCGGCAGCGAGGGAGAGAGTTGTTCATTAACAGGATTAAATGCTAAGGCTAATGGTATAAACCGAGACACAGGATGTGTCAGGTATGTGACGGGCACAGTGCGGGGTAAGTTTTAGGAGGGGAGGGGGGTTTCAGCAGAGGGGGTAGAGGTTGTTATTGTCATGGATTACTCAGTGCCACTTGATCTGCCTATTGCAGTAATCCCCTATCTAAGCCCTGCAGGAAAGCAAAAACACACAGGAGTTATGTTGCACCAATGGAAATGTCTTGAAAACATCTCTTTGTAAGCCTATCGATGGGGCTTATTGACATTTTGCCTCCATCCTTGCTATTTACTGCCAGTGGTGATCCATCTCGAATTAGCCAGTCATTATACCACTCCCCCTAACCCGAGAATCCAATTATATGACCAGCAATCTCTGTTTTTTTCCGACATTCCTCCCCTCTCCACCTACTGTATCTCCTCATAAAGAGTTTATAGTGTTTTGATTCGATGCAGGGCTTGATGGGATATGCCCATGGTTGACTGGCCAGGGGTGTGGGCCTTGGGAGCTGTAGTTCAGTGATGGAGAAGTCCGCAGGGAACTCATCAGAGACAGTGCTCTTCAAAAGGATGCACAGTTTCTAGTCCCAGTTCAGCACTAACAGGAGATTGAATTCATCAGCTAATTATCAAGCCCCAGATTAGTCACGTATTTTGAATCTGTTGAGTTGGTGGGGTGGAACAAATGTCCCTTTAGGACCAAGGCTGCAGAGTGCTTTTTAAAGTCAGTCGCTTCATGCCATGCCCTTTGCAGCAGTACAGCTGCAACTGTCCATCTTAAACAGTCAACAGCTGGAAAGTGTTCCCCAGACACCGAACAGAAAGACCAGCTGTAATGAGCAGAGAGGATGCAGATCTGAGCATGTCAGGAACACAGGGAAACAGTAGGTTTCAGTCACGGTAAAGATGACCACTATGATTCCCACACAGCTTGACCTTTTCCGAAAGCAATGTTTTCAGCTTTGTGTATGTGGGCGCATCTCAGGACGTAATAAATGTGGGAGTCAAGCCTGCTGTGGCTGCAGGTGTAGGCCTGCCGTAGGACATGAGACTGCTGCAGTGCACAACAGAAGCCAGCCGTTCAAAGACGGCGTCTGCGGACTGTGCCTCTTCCTATCCCACAGCACCCCGCCTTCTCCCCCTATACCAGCCCATTGATGTCAGAAAAACCTGCTTTCTTCCCAGAGGAGACTGAGGCCACTAGAATCGCCACAGCAACAACCCCCCCCCTCCCTCCCACATACACAAAAAAAAAAAAAAAAAAAAAAAAAAAAAAAAACTCTTCATGGTCACCAAAGAAAAACGAGAAAGCTTGAAAGCGAGGCAGAGAGGGAGGAATTGTGCAATGGAGAGAATGGGGAGGGGGATGTAAGTAAATGAACCGCGCCTGGAGAAGAAAGGTTCTTTTAGAGTCCTTTCCTTGCCACATATGGGCTCGCTCCCACCAGCACGAGGGATAGGGAGAGAGAGATAGGGCTTGTTAAAGAATGACAACAGGTGGTCTGATGTAGTTGCACAATTTGTCTGTGTAGGAACTTTTCAATCACCTCCGTTACAATTTATTTCTGTGCAAAGGGGGAGACACGGATCGCCCTGAGGCTTGCCAGGGAATCCAGGCTGCACTGATACTTCATATTGTGTAGCTGCTGTGTAAAAGCCATGGAGCTACTGGAACATGCAGGGATGGCACAGCACTTGTGAAAGAAATAAATACTTTCTTCATGGTTCATACATGCTTCAAATATGATTTACGCTAGAAGGAAACTAAGGACACACCAAATTACAGCCCGGATTCAAACACAGCTGCCTTATCTTAAGCAAATTAAAGCTCTTTATCAATAGAAATTAATATTTAACATCTCTTTATATGCTGATTACCAGACAAGAGGTTGTGTATGTTAGTGGAGTACAGAGGATGCTCATTGATCCTTACTATGCAAATTATTCCATTATTCTGTCAGAGAAATACATGTTTATAAGCCCCAGCGTTCCCTGTGTTCATGTTTTTCCTCACTTAATACGTTGACCCAGGCTTTACTGGAGACAATTGCTCGACTGCTCTCAGACTGGCCCGCTTGACATTCATAGGGGGCGTCGTCTTCCAGTTGGGCCTTTTCAATCTGAAGATGATACTGCCCTGGAATAGAGATGGAGGGATGAATTATTTGTATGACATATGCTGTGATAATGACATGCACACTACATAGATGTAAATAATTACAAAGAGGAGGGGTTTGTATAGTTGTCCTGCAAACACTCCGCTTAATATAAAACTCGCTGTTTCCTGTTGCCTGTTCCCTGCATGTGTGTTGATAGAGACCTCCCGTATCCTCGTTTTCATCTGTGGATTTCAGTGTCTTGAATTATACTGAAGGCAATTTTCTACTTTGAAAACAGAAAATTTAACAATAAAAGCAATTTGTACTATAATAGCCTGCCATTTCAATTCAGTACAGTAATATACTCTACTTCTGATGTTTGGGTGCCTGATTTAGTTAAAAATAAACTGCTTTCTTATTTCTCTAGAATGAAAACATCTCACTTGTGGAGAACCTCCCGCTGCAGGCGTTTCCACTGACATGCAAGTGGTTGTCTACACTCATGGCAGATGCATTTTGTTTCAGAATTAATTTCCAGTATTGCAAACAAAATCCAATCTCAGATTCACAACAACGACTGTATAAACTGTCTATTAATTGATGCCAGGCCGAATCCTTCTCTCCGTATCTCTCTTCTGAGATTGGTCTTGCCAACAGGGCTTGATTTGTTTGATGCATTGCCATAACCTGTGGGGATTAGACGATGTTCAGTGTTGGTTTTCCAGCTCCTGATTCTCTGGCTTACAGCCTACTAACATGTGCAAAATAGTATCTTAGTCTGACAACCACCCAGTCCTAAAAATGCATGTGTCAAGTAAGCTGGCAAGATAATTAACACCAACCAGAAGCAATTTTCGTGTCCAAGTTATCATCGAGTGCACAGAGAGAGAGACATTGAAGTTATTAATCATATTCCTCTTTCCTGAAATCACAAATACGGGAGTGCCATCACGCTGCAGAGAGGGTGTATTTATAGTGGGGGAGATGGCAGATGGCTGCAATGTGATTTGCCTACTTGTCCATTATCCTGTATTTATTTCGAAATTTACATAGCCCATATATGAGCAGCAGAGTATATTATCCTCTCTGCAAACCTGTATTGTGCCTTAAAGCTGAAAATACATATTGTTAGATAAATGGGAAAAGCTGATGTCAGTTAAGTACATTTTGTTAACCTTTTTGCCTCAGTCAGACACAAAACTATAATCAATACATTTGGCTATAGTTTGTTTCTCTACATTTTTGGGGGGGAATTGTAATGTATGTGCAATATGTTCCTGTATGTTTAGTGCTACTGTATTATCCTTTTTAAATAAATACTGTACATGTATCAGGTTTTGGGTCGAACCTGATGCCCGGCTGGGGTCTTTCTGTGTGGTTTGCATGTACTCTCAGAGTCTGCAAGTCCAAAGAAGCTGAGACTCTTAACTTGCCCGTAAGTGTGATTGTGAACATGAAGGTTTGCTTGTCTCTTACAGTATATGTCAGCGTTGCAATGAGTGTACCCCACCTTTCGCCCAATGTCAGATTGGATTGCCTCCAGCTCCCCTGCGACCCTCAAAGAATAGGCAGTACACACACAGATATACATATATATGAAGGGAGACAATATATATTATATATATATAAACTTGACAGGTGTGACATTTTAACTGTTTCCAACATGTTGCATACAAATCCCAAGTGACAGATAACATAGCGGTTATATATAGGTGTTGAGTTGATAATTATATCACTCATAATTAGAACTTGTCTTATTTATTGGGAGCATGCCAAGTACTACAATTAGAGTGTACCTTGTAGATCAGTCATTGAAAATAAATGACAAAAATCTCCCTCGAGTCTCTGCTGCCATGAATAATGCTGTTTTATCTGTTGTTCTGTGTGTGTTTGTCTTTGAAATTCTACATCTTGGCTCATGTCGATATTTACATTATGGCTCCAGCTCAGGGAAAGTACAGGTGCTACATGTACTGTAAGTACACACTGAAATCAACGCTGGCCTCTCCTGAGTGCGAGCTCCAATGCGTGATTTCGGGCTTTTTTAAGCATCCCTAAATACCCCTGATGGAGACAATCAGTGAAAACTGGTGGAGTAACAAGTGCAGTCAAGTGCCATCTTAAATGATTCTGCTCTTTGTGTGCAGTGTAAAGTGATTGCATACATCAGCCTGCAGTTTGCAGTCTCTGTCCTGGTAAAGTGTACCTGCCCTGATGGATAATTTATTCCTGAGTGTATGTTTGAGTGTTTGACAGCTTGTATATGTGGTCTGGTCTGTACACTGTATGTTTTTATTTTGTTGTTACCAATATTAAAGATCATTTTGTCCAGTCCTGTAGCTCTGTAATTTTCTCAGGGACAACTTATCAGCTGACATACACAAGTCTTTTTTTGTGTTTTATAAATGTTGTTAAAAACCTTGAGAAAATGAATAAGCATGGACAATGTGATAGGACATTTATGTATCTCCTCGTGTTTGCGTGTCACTGACAGTCTCCAAAAATGTACGACAGTGAAGTGTGGCTTGTCGAGTTGCAGGCTGAGCAGGAACAGATGCTCTTCTCTTACTCAGGATTGCCTTCTAATTGGCTATTACTTTTTATAGACTGTAGTGCAGATTCTGCAACACTTTATTCCCAACCACATTTCATTGATTTGCTGACACTCTTGACACTGTTGCTTAAATTAAATTTTTTCCTCTGACTTTACATGTGAGTGACAGTCATATCACCTCCTTGGTCCCAGATGCTCCCTATATTGATAGCCAGTGTGCCATAAGGTTCCCATAATGTCTGTTTTGCTTTATTACAGCATTTTGAAGCCATAGCAACAACATCATCTCATTTTCTTTTATAGTGGCCAACATCAAGCTGCGCTGTTGGAAGCTTCCTCAGCTGACAGTGGCATTTCATAATCTAAAATGTCACAAGAAAATAGAGAGGTATATCGGATTAATGTAACACTGATGGTTGTTGTTGGGTTACTTTCTTTGGAACATGATAATTTCATTTACTCTTTCCATTTCTGTTTTGGCCTGTACAGCTTTACCTCCATCAGTGTGTTTTTATCTTTTTCCACTCGACTGGATCTTCTGTGTTGATCATTTTTATGAGATTTTTTATTTTCTTTACCAACCTCATAAACAGGAAGCCTGGTTAAGGGAGATTTATGTCAATTCCAGGGTCTTTTTGAGTGATTTTGAAACAAGTTCATTTATTTAGCTCGGATAGGTCTATCAAAAGCCAAAAGGCCATAGACCTTATTCTGCATGTGTCCCTGTTTACCTCTCTTGGGGTTTCCAATCATGCTGTAGTGTGGAAAGCCTGGCAGGCTTCTCTGAGGTCCCAGGAGGAGGCCATCTTTCACCCACTGCACAGTCCCTGAGGCCCGGAGCACCTCACACCTCAACACAGCTGTGGCTCCCATCCGCACAGTGAGGTTCCTGGGCTCAGTCCTGAAGGCCTGCTGGGCCCGCATGCCTGGAGACATAAAAAGAGAAGAAGGAGAGCAGCTGGAGTGGATGTAGAGCAGGAAAAGAATGTGATGGGGATTTGATGTAAAGATGTGGACAAGAACAAGGGGTGGGTATGTGTGAGGAGTGTCAGGAAGGAAATAAAAAGGAGAAGAGGGAGCATGACATAAACACACACCGCAGGGGTTCAGTCTCGTGGTCTTTTGTCTGAGAAGGCACCCCATTGTGTCTGGCCACATTATTCATCCTGGCATATGTTTTATTGATGGGAAACTGCAGTGATACGGCCCTGAAAATGAGTCAATAAAGTAATTACTGCAAATTAAATCCCCCCTTGGCCATGCAGATAGGGTACTGGGAGGAGGAAAAAGCACGGGGTATCAGAGACCTCGTTCACCTGCGGTTTTTCTTCAGCGTCGGTGTCCCACCAGCTAATTCCTCCTGGGAAGAGTAATGATTATCACTTTAATCCCTGTTGTTTGTCATAGGTGGGGTTCAGCCATCCTTCAACCAGGCTCTTTGGTGCCATTCTGTGGTGCAATGAGCTGGAGTCAGAAAGGTAACCTTAAAGCAGACCTCCAGTGCGCCTCTAGCGATGGGGCTATAGGATTATATGACGATTATACACAGGCGTTTATGAGTAAATTCAAGTTCAAGGAGCAACACACAACCGCATACTCCAATTAGGGCCTAATATCTAAATGTGAATCTCGTTTAAACAATGCCCCACAGAGAAGCCAGCCAGATTGTGCTAGGCTGTTTGAATCTTGACCTTCATTGAAGCAATGACCAAGTTGTTTGTGAAGTGCATGCTCTGTTGCGTCTGACAACATGAGTGAGAGGCAGAGCTCTCAGATCAAGGCTGAACCAGTCACCTCACGTCAAATATGAAGGGCAAGATTGGCCATTACAGAGGATGCATACAAACAACCAAACACAGGGTGCATTTGCATACAGTTTACATAAATGAATACTCAACAGTGATCTACAGTGGCTGCTGAAATAGGATTGTACTGTATTATTTTGAAATGTAGAAATGCTTACGACCATATTAAAAAGTAGTGATGAGACTTTTCATGTCTAAAAGTGAGTGAGAGTGTGTAACATTGCATGATGAACAACACGATCTTTCTCTTTCAACAAGTGGAATTCATATTTAAATCGAACCTTTGCTCAGTTCATTAAATTCAGAAGTTGTGCCACTATTGCTTTTGCTTAACTAGTAGAGTCTGGTGGCTAATATTAGTTCATGTTATCTAGTGTTGTGTTAGCATGCCACAAGCTAACATTTTAATGGTCCAATCACAAAAGTAAAACAAGTAGATACCTCGACAAGAGTAGCATTTGTTATTTCCTGCTGGTGGTCCCATTCCACTGCTCTCCTAACTCCATCAGGTTGCCTAATCATGATGTCTATGTCTCGAAACCAAAAGAGTCAGTTCAAACTAAGGAGAATTCAATATCCCATTACCATCAGTGGCAATTTCGCCACATTTCACCAAAAGTGTTCAACTGAAGTCTCAGTATTAAGGGTCTATGTTTAGGGGCTGGGCAGGTGTATTATTGTGCTGAAAACTGCTGACTGGTCAAAGTGACAACCTGGAAAAAAAAGTTGATGACAGCAGTGATACTGAATGGAAACATTAAAGCAGGCTATAAAACCAAAATAATGAATGACAGTAAAAGATGCTCAAAATGCCCTGTAAAGCTAGAGGGGGATTTCAGGGACATGTAGAAATTCTCTGGAAATTTGTTACAGCAAGCATCTCCTTTTAGAAGTATTTCAATTTCGCCTTTTTCCGGAAAAACATTCCCTCTGGATTTTGCCTTTCACATATGAAGAACGTAGCAGGAGATTGTGTTATTTGCAACAACAGGATAATGTCTGGAACATTCAGACAAGTTGTGGCATCTGGGTAGAGCATGCAGGAGACAGGACCTATGTAGATCACATGTTTTAGTCTACAGCATTTCGACATTGCCGTTGGACCATATCACCAAATGCTCTCGATTCTCCTCTTCCAATTTGACTTCTTCAGTGTCTCTGACTTCTTTTTTCAGTTTTGTGTTTGTCTCTTTTTAGGAACAAGCTCCTGCTCAAGGTGAATTTCTCCATGCTGCATTCTCACAAAATACTGCACTTGTTATTTCTGGTAAGTGCACAAAGGCCAAAAAAAGCCACATTATTATTATTTTGAGCTTGTGAAATTATTATGAGTGAGTGACCAACATCAGTGCTCTGTTTGACTTAAGTTACCAAGGAACTAAATATTAATATTTGTTGTAATAACATGCAATAGTAAACGCTGTTTTCAGCTGCAAAGCCAAGAACAACATGGGGAAAAGGTGCAGCTTTCGTTTTCTTATTTGAATGAGTGTGTGTAAATTCAAAATGGTCAGTATTTATATAGCACTTTTTTTTAGTCTTGATGACCACTCAAAGTGCTTTACAGGAGAGTTTTACATTCACACACAAATTCATACAGTGCATCTATGTGCAGCACTTTTCTCTATGAGAAGGGGCCATTTGGGGTTCAGTATCTTGCCCAAGGACACAAGCATTCGGAATGGGGAAGACTTGGATCGAACCGTCGACCTTCTGGTTAGAGGACGACCGCTCCTTCACCGGAGCCACAGCCGCGTGTGTGTGTGTTGGTGTGTGTGTATACTACAGTAAGCCACTAAATTACTTTAAACAAGATTTTCACAGAGATTAAGAGATAAGTATGAGATTACCGGATAACCAGGTTAATCTAACTGTCTTACATTGACACTGTCAACCTTTTGTTACCTGAGCAGCCGGATAGAGAAGGTAACTCATGCATGTATAGCAGCTCTTATTCTATACTTAACATTAAATGAAGTTTGTAAGGTTCAAACTGCTTGGCAGAAAGCTTTAAACGTGAATGGGACCTGAAAAGGCCACAGTTACAGTAACAACATGATGACGTCTGATTCTCTTACCCCAGATGAGACAGAGAAAAGGTAGAGCTGAAGGAGACACAATCCACGCTGACAAGAAGTCCATTTCACCACGGACACCTAACCTCCGACAATCCTAGAACAATCAAATAGAAAAAAATACACACAAACATAAACACCACATCCTCTACAGCATGAATATTTTAGGCACTTGCTTTTCAAGGGCATTTATTAAGTCCAGCAGTTTGGTACTGTACATGCTGCTGCCAATTCAAAATAAGCCTTTTTATTTTTCCCTGATTTCTGACATACAAAACTTGTGTTTGTAATAGTGTTCCCGGATCAATTTAACAGGTGACTCTAAAGCTTAACAAGATTCCAAGCACATTGGTACAACAACTTTAAATCAATCAATCACTCAATCAATCGGTCCATCAATCCTGCATCAGACTGCAATTAAAACACAACTCGAAACAACCAATAAAGCAATTTAAAAGGTCTTAAGAACAGTCTAATCACAATCTTAAAGGGGCAAAAATCTCTTTCACAAGCATAGAGTTGGTGATTTGTTTTTTAGATGCAAAGTTACTGATCCACTCCTGGATGTAGTGTGTTCTTCCTTGGCCAATACGCCACCATTACACCAAGTTTCAAAAAAATTGTCTCAGTAGTTTTTGCATAATCAAACAAACAAAACAAAGAAACGGAATGGAAATAAGTGGAGGAAAGTATATTGCTTGTTTAGGTTATTTGTATTTTGAATGGACATGTATATGTAGAGTATAATAATTGTATCCACTGTCATTATCATGGCATGCTTTTGTTGTGATTGCTGGAAAAAGTCTGTGCTATCTAATACTTTTCCTTATTTGACCAGGAAGAGCTCTGTGGATTTTAAGTCAGTTTGTAATCACTTCAATTTATCTGCTGCAGGAGTGGAACAAATAATAGTGATTTACTTAATTGAAAACTAAATATTTTCTCATCTGAATAGACAAAATGAATTGAAGGCAACAGCTCTTTGACGCATCTCCCCGCAGTCGATTAGTTGCACTCCAACAGGTTTTGATAAGAATTAACTCACTCAATTATTTTTTCGCTCTCAAGACATTTGTGTATTTCAGAGCCCACAGCATACTCTTTGAACACACAAGGACAATTACTTCCCTCTTCAGTGAATAGAAATTCTTCTCTGAGGTTAAAGGAGCCAATCTTCTCTTTATCTCTGTCTGTTCTAATGCGTTGTGTCGGTAAACACTCAAACACAAAGACCGCATCGTGCTGAACGTAACATTTCTCCGTATATGCATTGCAATTTACATTTATCCATTGCTCAATAGGTAGAACTGGACTTTTTCTGCACAACAATTATAAAGAGAAGTATTCGGACAACACAAAAGGTTGCTGCTGACCTCATGAGTCATCAATTTCATTTGGCCTCTTAATGAAAGCAGACGCAGCCTGCCTGACCTCCCAACGTTCCCAAGTCAAACAACTGCCTTAATTGCTTTAAAAATACAGCCAGTCATGAGAATGTTGACTCACTGATGCGTGTTTGTTTTCTCTGCATGAGCAACCTGGGATAGAGAAGCATTAGTGGAAAACTGTGAGATGTCATTTAACAGTTGCTTAAAATATAACATTTGATAAATTGCAGGTTGAATTTTAATTCAATCCTCAGATTTAGGAACAATATTTTACTACAGCAGCACTCATTGCCAGAGGATTTTTTTTTACCTTGTTCTCCACCAGCTTCTTACAAATGCAAATTGAAAAGCTTGATTTGAAATTTGATTTGCTTGCAGAGACAAGGCTGCCACTCTCCCCACAAGGGCATCGGAGGCAGCTGAACCATCCAGCGTGGCCCCAACAGGTAGTTTTTTTAATGGCGTCTTTCATAACATCATCAAACGACTCAATACACTCAATCATAGACCAATTTAACGTGAAACCCCATGAAATCAGTCAATGTGCAGAAAATGAGGTTTCAGCCTCCAATCCAGCTGCCCAATTCAGATGTGGTCCTACATCTTAATACCAACCTAACCTCTTACCAATCTCTCCAGTTGCCTGTGGGCCCAATTACAGTAGATTAAAGAAGCAGTGTTGTGAGCCATTACTGCTTTAACACTGAACTGCAGATGAAAAGGGTTTCTAAAAGATGCAGATTAGATTATCTGCAGGATCTAATCACATCCGAATCATTGATTGTGCATTAAAACATGGCATTTTTAAGCAGTCTGATTAAAATGTGCTAAACACAGACCTAATAGTAGCCTACTCAGCCTCCAGGGAAGACAGACCAAATCATATCAGCTTGGTCCAGCAGTTCAGCAGCAGCTTTCCAAACCCAAGTTTGGTGTTTGTGTGTGCACTTTGTCTTCGCTCCCTTCAGCTCAAAGTGTTGAGAGTTTACTGGATTACTCTGACTTCGCTACACACACTCACAAACATGCTCTCCCCAGGAAAAAGTTGAGACAGAGAGGCAAAACCTTCTTTCAACCTCCACCAACTCATGCACATCTGCCTGCCTAGGGTGCACAGAGAGAAAGAAAGTGAGGAAGGCAGACAGACACACACTCGCACACATTAAGGGCGTACCTCCTTCTTAAAAAAAAAAAAAAAGGATCTTTGAATAGGTGTATGGATTTGCATGTGAGAGAGGGAGCTGTGCTTACCTGTTGAGTGACGCCAAGGCTCAGGAGCGTCTTTTTGTCTTCCTGATCTACAGATGGCTCTCTGAACACAAGTGAGCCACGGAGATGTTAAAGAATGCCAATGGGACTCCCCCTTCTCTCACTCCTTCGTCTGAGACAGAGGAAAACAGATAAAGAGCGAGGCAGAGAGGCAGTCGCAGAGAAGAAGAACGAAGGAAGGTGTGTGCATAAGAATTGCTGGTGGAGATGGATGCAAAGGGGCAATAACCTAAACAGCAAAATAGATGTCAAAAACAAAATATCAGTGTCATGGGTGCCCCAAGGAGTCAAAGGATTTTTAGTTTTAAAGCCACATGGAAACAGACAGATTAAAAAGTTGTAGGTCCTCTTGTTTCAGCAGAATTGAATAAATAACTGTAAAATCTTGATAAAGCTGCAGTAAGTCAGTAATACGATTGAAGGAACGTGCCTGTAGTTTCCTTCAGTTCTGCCATTCCGGGGAGTATTCACAAATCCCATGATTTAGCATTTCACTGTGCTGGGTTGGAAGCGGCAGAGCAGTCTGATACATAGATATAGAAGCAGCATGGATGTCCTTACAGCCGCTAGTTTGTAACATTTATGCTCATACATAATGAATGAAATAAGAGAATTCACATCACTGTATTTCCTATACTCAATACTCCTGGGGTGAGCTAGTGATGGAGACAGAGACAGGCCAAAGAACCCCCCTCCCTTTTTCAATTATATACTCACAACTTAACGGTGGCTGGAGAATACCGCCATTTTCTCAGCGGAACATATTGAAAGCTTTTCTAGCAAGACAACTTAAAGGTCATGTTTATTTTTTGTGTGCATGTATTTTTCATTGGATTTGCTGATAGTCCACACTTGTGCAATGGCTCTGTGGCGTTGAGACGTACGCGCTATTTGCACAGTATAAACACAAAAGCAGTTGCAGGCTACTGCTGCATCCATGTTATCACTATGGGTCAGCTGTGCAGTAATGGTAGACCAAGCACTGTCTGCGAGAACAGTGAGAGAGGGAGAGAGACTCCCACGTTTGTGCAGCAAGCAATAAAGAGAGAATGATAATGACGCACACCCTCATAGTGGCACAAATTCAAAGACTGTAACTTTATTTTATGCACACTGCTGAGTGCCAGTGTACAGTATCTGGTCTGTGTGTAGTGTGTGCATGTGTACAGCCCGTGTGAGCCGGGTGTGTGTGGCCCAGATGTTAGCAGCTGGGTTGTGTAGTTAGAGCTGGCCCCACAGACAGTCATTAAGCCCAGCAGCCCAGGGCTGGAAGGTTAATTCCCCTGCCTGGAGGGGTATGTAGGTGGGAGGCAGGAGGAAAGAAGGGAGGGAGGAGGAGGATGAGGTGGAGAGGCGGCAGAGGGAGCAATGGGAGGCGAGGGGGCTGTGAAGCTCAGCACTCAGTTCACACAAACAGCACTGTCAGCAAGAGTGGAAGCGCTCCACTGCCAGACGAAGGAAGAGGAGGAAAAGAGCTGGGGCCTGACAGAGAGGTGGTGAGGAAGAGAGGGGGAGGGAGACGGACAGAGGACCTGAAGATGAATGGCAAGAGGGGAAATGCAGTGAAGAGGAGGGAGATACAGTAAGAGGGTAAAAAGAATGCATGTCAGGAGGTTGGACAGGCAGAGGATAAGATGAAGGGGACACGAACGGGCAAGGTAATGGAGCGAGAGAAACGGATGGAGGGAGGAGACAGAAAGATACTGTAAAATGGGCTGTGGAGTGATGAATATAAGACAAGGGTGGAGCAGGAGATTGGGGGGAGAAGGGAGGAAGGAAGGTTGACATGAGGAGTTGTTTTGAAAACCAACAGGAAGTCTACTGACTCAGACCAGTGCGGCAGGGAAAGCAAGATTAATCAAAGAAAGCAATAAGCACTACGGTGGAAAGCAACACAATATGTGGAAGAGGAAAAGACGGGGTCATGTCCAGGAGATTGATTCAAAAAGTGGACTGGGAGTGAGACTGCATGCAATATGTTTGTGTGTGTTTCAGTTCCTGTGTATGCCTGTGGGTGTGTATAGTATTTGTTAGGATGGTGCATGGCGCAGGGAGGCGGGGGCAGGGGGAGTGCTTAAATCATCTGTATTGCCATAAGCAATGTTGTAGCTTAGATTCTGTCAGTTATCAAAAATAGAAAAATGCTTAATTCCAAAATGAATATGACATGTTGGAGTCAGTATGTAACAGTTTAAAATGCCAGAGATATTCAGCGTACAATATGCGATCCACGCCAGGAAGAGGATTTAACTAGTTCAGTGCCCACAGTTCTTAGGAGGCAGTTAATTTAATGAAAACGGGTCTTAGTAACCACTCAATAGTGCTGAGGTCTCCAACAAAGGCCTGCAAAATTGTCTTCGTGCATTGAGCTGGAGAGTATTGCATCCACAATCCGAGCCTCGGCATTAACACAGCCATCTGACCCGGCGATCTGATTGGAGACCCATCTTCTGTTGCCCGCCACAGTGCAGCTGCCATATCAGCGATGCTTCAGTGTTCTAAATCTGTAGACAAGGTCAGCATGTTTTTATAACCCCCCCAGGCCGATCTGGCTACCAGTCGACCACAGGAGGAGATTCAACAGGCAGCGACAGACTGGGAGTCGGATGCATCAGAAGAAACCAGAAATGACAATTACATGGCATCACTCAAATAACAAGTAGCAAACAGAGATAAGAGGGCTTTCACAAGTCTGACAGCAATAATCTGCCTCAGCAGCACTTTCTTCAAAAGTCTGTCATAGTGATGAAGTCCGAATAAGGACAAGAACCTTGCCCCGCTGCTGGCATGTTTGCAAGACGAGATTCTCGAGTTGCTGTCTCTGGGTGACCCGTGGGCCAAGCGATGCTGGAGCATGTGGACCGTACATGTGTCAGGGTTAAGACGGATTTGGAAAAACCCAATTAAACACACCGATACACTCTTTGCTGTTCCCCTTCAATCCCCCGTCCCCGTGTCCCGATGCATGTTGGCAGCAACATGGGAGTACTGAGCTGGGCATGTGTTTGTGAGTATGTGCAAATGTGTGCGCATGTGTCTGGATGGATGGAGAGGCTTGAGACAACCAGCTGTGGTGTCCAGATTGAGGAGGGATTATTTCCCAAATCTCCCCCATTTACCTCAGATGCCTAACAAGCTCCCATGTTACCATGTTGATTCACCAATATTGCAACTCAGATTCTGCTTTTAATAACAAACACAGTGGACCAATCAAATCAGAGCGTATTGATGAGGTGTTACACAGATCTTTTTGTAGGTAAAGTACAACAGGAGGAGGCTTACTGAGTAAGTGTGAAGGGGTCTATTGATCAAGGATTAGATACAGGGGTATAATTGATGGCTGAGTGATTGAATTAATTAATGAAAAAGACAGTATAAATAAGTAAATATCATTGAGTTGCTAGTGTCCAAGAAAAAAAGCAAAAAGCAAAAAAGTACCTGACTTCTTTTGGAAAGTGGAATCTTCTATCTAATAAATTCCTGTGTGAAGTCATGAGGTCAGAGGCTGGACAGGATCGCTGAAAACAATATTATTAGGTCACTGAGGGAAGAGGAGCGGGGTCAGATAATGAGACTCAATGTGGCTGAGTGAAAATGCATGGGAGGGAAAGTGCTGACACCTCCCTTGCTCTCGCTCATCCAATTCCACAGCGCTTACTCTGTGGCACTGATATTCATGCCGAGCTGTCCATCCACGGCCCACAAACTTTAACGTTCGCCGTCTCCACCGCCCCATCTATCACCCCCGCGGTGGCGATGGACGAATGGAGAGCGAAGCGGAGAACGGTGGCGGTGGGCAGGAGGGGAGGGAGGGTGGCCGGGCAGGCAGGCGGAAGAGACATAAGGGGACAATATTGAAATTTGAGGTCAGAAAAGACAATTGTTGTATCCACTCTTGTGTGTCCCATTCACTTATTCAGAGCAATCTCACCCATGTACAATAAACACACACACACATTCACAGAGAGAGAAAGAGAGAGAGAGAAACACACAAAGCCAGGACCTCCTATCACAAGCAATTCAATATAAAGATACGCACAGCTCAGGCAATAACCTGATCCTGGTGAGAGATGTTATAGGCTTTGACAGGCGGGGCTGAGCCACACAGCCCAGGCTGTTCTCCCAGTTTCACTAACAAAACAGAAGGATTAGAGGATGAAACCGAGCTAAATCTGGGCAAGCTAAAAACGGGGGCAAAAACAAGGCATGGAAAGAAACGATACTGAATGGATCCACAGCAAGCCTGTGACAAAAGCTATTAAGCAATAAAAGGCCACTTTAATAACAAAGCCCTTGTGTTCTATTATTTATGTTCTGCTGTCCACAAATACAGCCACACACATAAACACTGCATGTATACAACATGAACAAATGTGCATGACACACACACACACACACACACACACACACACACACACACACACACACACACACACACACACACACGCACACACCTCTTCTATCAGGAATCCTCAACAGATTAGACTCAACCTTTCATAACTCTCACAACCATAGATTTAACTACAGTGAGCCAAGGTTAGATGTAATGCTCCTCCCCACCTCTCCATCACAGCATTAGTATTACAATAGAGGTGAAGATTTAGCAATTTTGACCCCAGGACATTGGGATTTTTTTTTTATTATTGAAGGCGGTCTGGTAATGTAGTTTAACGAAGGACTGACTCAATGATTCAAATCTAGTTTACACTGTGTTTGATTATTTGAGGCGTTGAGAGGTGAAACCATCTTTGAAGAAAATGTATTAGACATGTTCTTTTTCCTAACATGGAGGAGGCTGATCTAATGAACGCATTAAGTGTTTTCATAGAGAAAAATCAATGCCAATCAAATCTGAACTCACCATTGTCCCTATTTCACAACAGTGTCACATCAAACCAATTTTGGAGCTGCCATTTTGCGGTTAAATGTGTTGCTATACTGGTCAAAATCTGCAAAAGACACTTTCAAAAAAGAATAAGTACACAATGGTTGTCTTAGCCCCATCTTTGTCTTTAGTGGTGCTTACACAAAAGGAAAAATGTGTAAGAACCTGGCCACCTGCTAGTGCGTCTCATATTTTATCGACTTAAACCATCAAACAGAACTGCCCAA